TGCTCCCACCGCCCCCTTCCCTCTCGCCCGCCCGCCCGCGGCCCCTCACCTTGTGGCGGCCGTGGCGGAGACGGGGATGGCGACCCAGCGGCGTCCCGGGACGCTGGGCGGGAGCCGGCGCGCAGGGCTGCCCCTCGGCGGGAAGCGGCCCGGCCCCCGCCCGCCACACGCAAACCCCCCGGGGCCATTTCCCTCATGGTTGTTTTCCTCCGTGACTGTCGGTGCGGGGCGGCAGGTCGGGAGGCGGGAAGGGGCCGGAGCAGAGGAGGAGGAGGAGAGGAAGGAGGAGGAGGAGAAGAGAAAGCTGCCCTGGCCGGAGCGAGGGAGTACCGGGGTAAGGGCTCATCGGGATAGGAAAGATAAGGTGCTGCTTCTAAAAGAGAGCCAAAGCTTCCCGCCACCCTTTTAAGAACTTCTCTAAAATTCCCCACCACCCACTTTTTTACTTGCCTTGACACGTAGTGTAGGTTAATACCAAATTGCCAGGTGGGACCCATCCCTGGAGGTGTTCAAGGCTGTTCAGGTGGGGCTTCGAGCAACCTGAGGTTGTCCCTGCCCATGGCAGGGGATTGGAGCTAGATGATCTTTAAGGTCCCTTCCAACCCAAACCATTCTATGGTTCTATGAGTCTATGACCCTGGAGATGCAGAGCATTGATCCGTAGGGGACACAGGCCAACCAGGGAGGCTCCTCTCTGCCCAACTAACCGTCACGGTTTCTAACAGCAGCCAGAAAACAAGGATCTACCAAGTATTTCTGACCTTTATTTTGAAAATAAATGTAACCTGTTGGTGCCTGACACTGATCCTGCTCTCCCACCACTGCAGCCTCTGGCTGGCAGAGGGCCTGCCTCGCTGGCAGCTGTAGGACAGGCAGAGCAAAACCTCCAAGGGCAGCCTGCTATTGCTTCTGGTCTTTTTACCACCTCTGAAGAGAGATGAAAAACCACCTGTAGAGCTTACCATCTGTAGAGCAACTGTTTCGTCACTATTAAAATAGAACATTCTTTTAACAGAACTAAGCAGCATTAATAGAACAGACGTAAGATCTCCAAAGTATCAAAGGTGAATTTAAGTTGATTTTGATGTTCTGAATAAGATTTACATTATCAGCCTATCTTTCTGTCATTCCTTGCCCCTTTGGCTGGTTCCAATCTAATTTCAAGGAAGTCATTACACTCTTATAAGTTTTGTGGAAGTTCACGTGTCACTGAGGAAATAAACCTAAATTTGTTTTCTTAGCAAGGGAACAGCAAGCAAAAAAGTCATCTCTTACACATTCTGGTTAGCAGCAATAAACCAGACAATCCATATAAATATATTAGTCATCCACATTGCATATACAGTTCCAGACTGCTAGATGGGATTTTCATGGGGCAAATGGAGAAGAAATTGTTGTTATTGTCATTAAGGTTTTTTAGTGACTAAAGGATCCAAATCCACAGGATCCAGTGTCTTCATTAGCTCTGCTGCTCATGAGATAGCTGCTGGAAGGACAATGGAGGAATGCCAGAGTACTGAAAAAAAGCTTACAGCTTACGCTGAACATATATTTTTAAAAGGGTAGGGTAAAGGGTAAAGAGGATGACACAGGCAAGCCTGGCTTAGCCAGTTTGATACAGATATGGGGCAGAATCACAGAAATACTGACGTGGGATACAGTCATTAAATGCCAATAATCAAATGCCAGTCAACACACTTTCATGAAAAAGATTTGATTAAACGCATTCGAATTTAAGTTTAACAGATAAAGGTAATAATGTTGATGTAATAGCTTCCATCTGCATTAGAACAGTACATTGTTCTTATAAATACAATGTGGAATACAAAAAAATAAGTGATTCAGCTGACAGTTCTCAGGAGAAGTAGTTGCAGGGGAAGATTTGACATAAGGTTGTCTTTTTGGGTGGTGTTATCCTTGGCCTGGAACTATTAGAAAGGACCTGGACAAAAATACCAAATTACTATCTTGCTGTTGTAAATAAAGATAAGGGCATGTCACTTAGATAAACTCTTTTTATTGCTTTGTAAGATCTTCTCACTTGTAAAAATATTCCTCTGCAGACAGTCAAGTTAGAGGTTATACATTCAAAATAAAGCCTCAAAGCCACACTGGGAATCTGAGGGAGAGCAAACAGCATGAGACAACGCTAAAGAGGACCTGGATGCTATGGTACATAAGGAGCTGAACGTGAGCTTCCAGAGTAAAGCTTTTGCAAACTAACCCTCTGAAGCAAAACCAGAGGAACACCAAATACAACAGGAAATTTATATTACCCCTGTTTATAGCATTGATGCAGCCATTATTGATATAATGCGTTTGTTTTGGGCATTTACACTTCAAAGGAATGTTAAATATTGGAAAGAGTCCAGAATAAAGTTATGAAAATATGCATTAATGTGAGATGTTTTAAAAGCACAATCCAATGCAGGTGGAGAGGTTCCTTTGTCATAAGCATACTAGTACTTGTCTGGGTTAGAGATGTTTGAGGAGTAGAAGCAGTTTCTGACTTTCAGAAAATGACAAAATTCTCAAAGCAAACTAATTAACAAAAAAAAAAGACTAGAAATATGGCATATCTTAATTGGCTATAGGATGAAACTATCAGTGAATCTGCTTTGAAACAATACAAAATTGTCAGTAGAAAAATAGAGATTTTTTTCAAAGATGTACTGTAGCTCAAGCATACACATCGAATATGTTGGCAGAGGTTCTGTGTGGTCTGATATGGAGGTGATATGACCACAAGATTATACTCGGTCCTTTCTGTCCTTAAACTATGACTCCAGAAGAAGACCAAGAAGCCTTCTTATGTAGCAGCAAAAGAAGGAACAGGATCCCACAGATGTTCCCAAAAAGAAAGTCTTATTTTGTGAGTTCTAATAGGCAATGTCTGAAGAGCTCCTGGAACATTTCATTGTGAACACAACGTTCATGCCTGACTGTCCAGTTCTGCTACCATTGCTAATGTGATCTCCCAGACAACCCAGCAATGACTTCAGAGAAGTCCAAATTTCCTCAAGGAAAATATGTCAATGCAAAATGCTATGTCACTCATGTAAAGATCATCAAAGGAACAAGAGTTCCACCTTCAGGTCTGGGAAAATACTACCTCTGATGGCAAAAAGATGTCTCTGAAAAAAAATTTTAATGGGTAGATGGAGTTGGACTTCCTGAATTACAGACTCAGACTTGTATCGTGTGTCTGTCATCATTTTTGAGTGGTCTGTTATAGATCTGGTGACCATGTGTATTCCTACACAGTTATCAGAGAAACTGCTGTGTATCACCAATAAATAGTCTAGAAGAAAATCATGAGGACTTCTAGGAAGGCAGAGAACTGTTGTACATCAGACTAAAGAAGAGCTTGCAGCAGTTTCTTTTTCCACATGAGATCATTTGTAGTTTTCAGATAGATGGTATTAGGATCAGGATCCAGATGTGCAATTCATTTAACTTGATTCTTTCACTTCATCTTACTGCTAAGCTCTCTTCTCAGCATCTTTCCTTTGCACACAGACTCTCAGTTAACTCATGCCAGGGAGGGTATTTCAGAGTGTTGCTCAATAAAGACAGATCTGCCCAGATATATTATGTTTCTAAAGATACATCTTTTTCCAGTAGAGCATTTCAAAATTCTGTTGCCTTTTTCAATGCATTATTATTACAGATACACTGATTTCACTGTCAAAAGACTTGTGCTGGCAAGAACTGGTAATAAAGTTTCCATTGTGTCATGGAAAACAGCCATTACTGTGTTACAGTGAACATTGCGCTCGCTCTCAGTCTTCCAGGAGCACAAGGTTGTTCAAAATCAGATCCTCTTCTAACATACATCCCTGAAAAAATCAAACTTTTTCAGTAATTCGTGACTGAGGGGTGTTTTGTGGAATATGTGGCAGCATTTTCTGAAGCTCTTCCTGATGTAGGCAAAATACTGCGGGGTGGTTTGGGGGGAAACTGTTTGCCACAGTTGACAAAAATTGCTGTAGTTTTTTACAGTTGGTGGAATTCTGATCCAATGCTCTTTTAGTGTAATTTTCTGCAAAACCAGCTCAGATTTGGTTGTGGTTCATTTGTACAGTATTGCAGAAAGTAGGTTTTCCAAGTGGTAATGAAACAGAAGAGGTTTGTTATACATTCACGTATTCACAGTAGCAGTAACGCTGGATAGGGTGTAAAAGCAGGAGAGAAAGCGATTAGGGCAAAGCACATTTTGAGATAAATGCTTCCTCACTGGTTGCACTGGTTATTTGTGTCTTTTCCAGCGTATTGACAAGCGTCATGCTGTGCCCGTGGTGCGGGAATGGTGCTGCCACTGATCCACCCCTGCAGCAGCGGTGCAGGAAAGCCTACACAGAAAGGATGGCAGGTACAGAAACTGTCTGTCTGCACCCCCTGGTCAGCAGTAGGATTTCCCTACAGACAAGAGCAGGGCAAAACAGGCATGGCTGCTGGTGGGAGCTCATGTCGCTGGCACCTGGGGAATGTGCACCTGCAGTGGGAGCCTTAGCTGTCCACTGCTGGCATAACCAAAGGAGATAAAATATTATAACTAGTGTTGCTGGGGTTGTGGCCCTACCAGGGAACTTCCCCATGACAGGAATTTCATCAAGACCCCTTTTTTTTTTTTACCCCCAACATCTTTCCATTCTCATTGGAGCTGAAGAGGATTGCTAACACTTAAAATTCCTGATCAGCTTTCACTATGTGCTGTAGCAATGGTGTATCAGATATTCTCAGCTTTGTTTGTAAAGTCACCCAAGCAGTTTTACTTTACTACAGAAGGTGGTTGAGCTAACTCGGTTAAAAAAGCTTCTAGTGGGACTGTCTTTTATATGCATTCTTCTCTTGTTATAGGATACATTGGCATCACCTTAAGCTAAACCCCTACAAGTTACTCTAGCTCAGAAAAAAAGAGTTTGCATACGAGGCAGCTTTACCAAGCAAAGGAAGTCAGTGCATTTTTTTGGTTTTTATACAAGGCCTTAGAAATTCTGTATCAAACCTTAGTGCCATTCAGTTCAATTGTAAGATTTCCATTAAATTTATCAGCAAAAGGATTTCCTTCTTTGTCCAGGTTCCAATGCTTCCTAACACAAGAAAATACAAACTGCAGTCAGAGGGGAAAAAATAGAAGGTGGTGAATCAACTGAACAAACTTTCATTTAATCAGTCCATCCACCATACCTACCAGTAACCAAACTTTACCTTTTGTA